CATCAACAAAGTGTTATCAAAACAGGGCAGAACCGGATAGATAAGAAAGAAAGAAAAACAGAGAAACAACCTACGGCACGGACACGCTATGGTTCTGAGAACGGCCCGGCCTTGGACACAAAGTTTGGCGTGCGCTCCTCGGCGAGGGCCCTGAGCGCGGCGTCGTTGACCGGGAGAAGGCGGCCGCCGGTGCTCTTGCGGGAGCCGAGCTTGGCCATCTCGCGGCGGATGCCGTGGTTAACAGCGTCGAGAACTGTGTCGACGAGGCGGCGGGGCTTGTAGCGGGGCTCGGTGCCGGCCTGGTAGACGCCCGTCTTGACGAGGATGCTGTACCACTCGTTGGCGCTCTTGGCGTCCATGGCGTTGGTGCCGCGGATGTCCGACTCGGGCGTGTCACCGACAAAATAGACGGTGGCGGGCGGCTCGCCGCCTTCCTCGAGCCCGTGCTGCGCCATGCGCCACTGGCCCAGCAGGCGCGTCGCGAACTCGAACGTCGACACCTGCGGCTTGCCGAACACGTGCGTGTGCAGCTTGCGCCCGCCCGACGTGTCTTCAAAGACCGTCTCGACGATGCGCCGCAGCGCCCCCATGCCCAGACGCGCGTGCTCGTGAGCCGAGGACCACAGCACGTCATTGTGGCTAAAGTAGATGGGCGGGCCCTCGTCAAAGGTTTCAGACCGCGTCTCGAGCCGGCCGCCTTTGCTCTGGGCGATGTCGAGGATGATCTGGAGATCCGACGCCCAGTCGCGGCTGTCGGCAAACACGAATATGGCCTCGACCACAATGTCGCTCATATTGACGCCGTGCGCCAACAGGTCGCGCGAGTTCTTGTGCTCCGACTCGGTTAGCTTGCGGAACGGCGCCGTGTGGGCGTTGGCCTTGAGGATGTCGCCAGGCGTGATGACGTCGCGGAAGCCGTAGCTCTCGGCCACATCACGACATGTCTCACCCTCACCCCCTACCACGAGCACGGTGCCGTAGCGGTCGGCAAACTCCCGCATGGGCGTGTGTCCGCAGATGAACTGGCCCGGCGAAACCTCAATCTCGAGCTGCCGGGAGAGATCCCTGCACCGATCCGTATCCCCGAGGCCGCGGCGTTGGCAGGGTAAAAAGTAGGCATTCGTGTTTAGTGTGGACGCCTGTAGATGAACATCAAGAGAAAGCAAGCCGGGGGTGTCAGGGTCCCCACTCAAGTTTCCAGGCCCCAAGGCGAAAGATACAGGGAAAACACCGAAACGTGGAAGGCGTCCCGAGAGCCAAATACCTGACAGATGGGTCTTCGCAGAGAGTCATGTTAGTCCGGCCCAATACTATAGTTCCAGCCTTCATATGGTTGCCTCGGGATCCGGTTTTCTCCGTAAAGAACTCAGAAGTCACACGAGGAAAGAGGCGGCGTACTACGAAGACGCAAGTCAGAGAGGGACCATAGCTCTGTAGATGAGGTTGCTCGGTATCTTATGCGTAATCGCCAAATCGTTGCCTTCGGCCCGGCAGCGCGTGCTCGGACAAAAGTGCATGTAGCAACAGGTAACCATATGTAACCAGCACCACCTCTCAGGGGTGCCCTCGCGTGCCAAAGGTAAAGGCGCCCCATGGCGAGGTGGCCACCCACCCGGCATCGTCGACGGTGTTCTGGCGCTCGTCTCTGTCGGCCAGCGCCTCGTCAACGGGCATGTCCCCGAACGACTGCGTCTCGGCCCTGTCGACACGCAGCCAGCCCTTCCAGTCGGCCGTGACAGCCATCTGGGCAGAGGCTGCGGCGGCGGCGGTGCCGGCTGGGTTCAGCCCACCGCCAATGACTACCGTGCCCCACCACTCACGGGCGCGACTTCGGTGTGGCCGGTAAAGCATGTACTGCTCCAATGACGCGAGGCAGTTGGCGATATGTGCGACGCCTCCGCGAGTAGCACGCAGGATGTGGACATGATCCAGGTCACCGGGCTTGACTGCTAGCCTCACATGCGGAAACTCCCCAGCTGGAGCAGTGGCGAGGAGACGCTCGGGGTCAAACCGGCCGTCAAAGTCGACGATAGCAACTGCCTTGTCATGGGGCGAGGTGATCAGAGTCGCAACCAGGACGTAGAGGAGCTCGCGGTAGCGGCCCGTGATGGCCAGCGGCGCAGACTGCGTGGCGCGGAAATGGCGCTGGACGAGGTCATTGAGTTCGGGAATTGGGAAATGCTTGAGCCGATTGCTGCTTGAGCGAGTCGGCACAGCATTGTTTGCGTGACTATCTTCGCCAGCGTGGTTGCGGTTGGGGGTTGTTGACGCAAGGCCTGTGCGGAGAGAGGCGAGGATCTTTGTAGAGAACAAAAAAGGCTGGTTAGCAGTGAACTTCAACTCGCTTCCTCCGGCACCCCAGCACAACCGCACTCGTCGAACTGGGCGGCAGGCACGACTGAACGACGGACGCGCACTTTGAGCAAACCGACTTGTGCTGCAAAACTTTGTCGCACCAGGCCCAGCTTACCTCGTCCAGACTCGCCTCATCGATCTCGGAGAGCAGGCGAGCGCCAACCGACGCGACCGCGGCCTGCATCTTCCGTTGTTGCTTACCCGCTCACCCTACGCTACGCGACGGCACCCTCGCTCGCAGCCCCCAATGCCACCACCGTCGCACGGCTTTCCGGCCGGGCAGCTGCCTTTGCAGGTGCAGATCGGGCCAGATGGGAAGGTGCGCAAGACGGCGGACGGGCGGAGGATCGATCTGGCCAACGACTGCGAGCTGCTCGGCCTGGTGCAGTACGACTGCCACGTGCCCCGCCCCGAGATGCACCACAGCCCAGTCAAGTGCTGGCCCGTCCAGCGCTGGTTTCGCAGGTGAGCAACGCGACAGTCTTCTGTTCGGGATGGTCGCCAGATTGATTTGTGGGTTTGTCTTGCTGACTAGAGCTGGTCGTGGTCCGCACAGGTGCCAGAGCAAAAACGGCAAATTTATGGTCGAGACGACCGCCTGGGAAGGAACAGAAGCCGCCGCTGCCGCGGGAGCAGCTTCCACCGTAGCGTCACCTACCACGAAAGCTCCGCTGGGAGTTCATTGGATGCATGATCCAAAAGATAACCCCCCAGTTCCATGGAAAGAACAATAAAGCTGTCTTCTATGGCATATCGCCCATTTAAAAGGCATCGTGAACCCCAGCATTTTGTGAATGGCCGTCGCTCGTGGCAGAGTTACAGTAGACACTTCGTGATATGGCCGTTCTGGGTTTCTTCAATTGACAACCACAAGAGAAAAGAGGTTGAAGATTCTTGGTTCCAACTCAATTGCCCGGTTTCCTGTCTATCCGGTCCATATGCATACACACGGCGAGCCGTCTCTCCTCTCTCCTCTCTCTACGAAGCCTTCCCCCAATATCTGCTTCTTATGTACGTTTGGCTCGACCACCGCCCAACATGCCCAGCATGGCCACTAAGTCGTCTCAAACGCCCGCCCTCTCGGCACGCTTCTCCTCCAGCGCCTTGTAGTAGTTGTCGCGGGCCGCAGTCCGCGGCAGGTGGTAGCCGCGCCTGTCAGCATTGCATGTTAGAGCTCCCCGGGACAAATCCCATGACGACACAATTTTCGGGGATACCGAGTTCTCAGGGAGAGCCGTACCAGAAGAGTTCGCCAAAGACGACTCCAACGCCTGTGTAGCCGAGGTTAGCGTGCTGTTTGTTCGCGAGCTGGTGGCTAGCAGTAGCCGAGTTTGGGCACCCAGGCGACGTCTCCCACAGCCCAGTTGTGCAAATTTTATATTGAAGCATATCGCGTGGAAACTCACCAAGGGCAACGCTCAGGTTGACGATAAGGCGGTTGCGAAGCATCTAGGGTCAGGTCAGCTCTGTGTTTCGGCGGGCGGGAGCCGCAATTGGGCAGCCCATTGGCGCTGCAGCACAAAGCGACAGTACGTACGCCGGTGATGGGCTTGATCGCCATTTTGAGAGAGGTGTCCGAGACGGCTCGAATCGAATGGTGGAGCGGAGAGCGTCGTGCAGCGATCGGGGAGTGCGCGGTTTGATGATGTTCAAATTGGAGCTTCCAACATTGAATGACCTGATGTGTTGCGGGTCCGGGAGCTGCACGTGACTTGCAGCTTTCTTGGCACTGTGGCGGACAGTCAGGGTTAGGGTAATTGCCAGGGCCGCCCAACTTCGCCTAGGAGTACCAATTCTTCGTAAGTTCTTATTGTTACGTTGGTATTGTAGTAATAAACATGCACTCCGTACCTCAGACCAGATTCATTTCCTGTTCGTTTCTTCGGGTTGCCAGTGATGCTCTCTTCTTTCTCAATCCCCGCCCTCTCCTCTTCCTCTGAACAGCCCAGTTAAGTACCCAATGAGTCCGTGTTCACGGTTTATGGGATTGCTCGAGGAATCGAGGCACTATCGAGTATAAAATGCCCATGCTAACTTACCCATCCAAGCACGCGGCTTCTGGCGTCCATTTACTCAACTCGGCGACAGAGACCCAAAATTTGCACGTCGTACTACATCAAATACACTTGCCAATGCAAGAAGGAGATGGAGTTCGTGCAGTGTGAGGAGCGTCAGGGGACCAACGTGAGGTGCACGCCCATCACGAAGAGACACCGCAAAGATGCTCAAAACTTCTGTGAGAGCCACCTCGTCTATTCAAATGCCCCGCGGACGTGTATCACCAAACCTAAGCCCCAGGATGCCGAAGAGTAGGAGAGGCAACAAAAGTCCGTGAATAATAGGGATATATGTTGTTACTAGGTAAGGTATCTACTACCTACCTAGGTAACTCTATCACATTGAGTTCTGCTCCTAATTTTTGTTGTAACTAGCTATACTACCGGTATCTTCACCAAGGGTAATCATATCATTTTCTCCCAACACAATAAATGCTTACCGTTCATCAAAAGAGAGCAACTGCCCAATGTTCTCAAACGACCCTAGCCGATACAGCCCCAAAAAAAACGCAAAACAAGCTTCCATGACTACCACCACTCTCTTCATTAGCGGCATAAATGTGCTTCAAAAAGAAAGAAGGAAGCAAATGCCTTTGGCTGGAATCGAACCAGCGTACTCAGATCGCTCTCGTAGTTGCTTAAGCTATGAGACTGATGCTCTACCTCTAAGCTACAAGGGCTTTTTCTGTTGTGGAACAGTAGTTGAGTCAAGCGAGACGGAATTCTACTCTTCAGCCCACGCTCCTGGTTTGAAAAGATCGTGTGTGGGCTGTGCGACTGCGGAGCCACCTTGCCTGGCCCCCTTCCAGAGTCTTCCGGCTCCGTAGTTCCACTTACTTCCTTCCCAGGCGGATTTGCAAAGAAAAATTACAACACCAAGACCCGCCGGCCGACGTGTATCCGCAACGGAGCGGACCCGCGAGCCGGCTTTCGGAAGGCGTTGAACTACTCGGCCCAGGCGGTGATGGATTGCTTCGGTACGAAGGTAAATTGCTTCACAGTTCGCCCTAGGAGTTCATGCCGAGCGAGGTGGTACGTTTTTAGAGTCCCTGATATAGAATCCTAGAGGTCTATCTCCCTGATTTGAATGCCTCGTAAGGCTCTTCTCGGCTAATTTATTCTCATTCAATTGTACGAATATTCATTACAAACACTCTAAGTTTCATCATGATAGTTGGATTGCCATCTCTATTGTACCACTGCTTGGTTTGGTAGATCTTCGTATTCAGAGGTTGATCCGTTCATCTTTGATTCAAAATGCAGCCACCCCTCAGGTGTGATGGAGGGGACAGTTGCCCGGGTAACGGGCCTCACTTTGGACTTTGCAAACATGAACAGTATCATATGTTGAACCTAAATATTGGATGTGCTTTCTCTTGCCACCCTATCTTGGACAACTTCCCAGAGATGAACGACTTTAGTCAATTTCAATCACAGAAGTAGGTAGTATGCGGCCTTGCTCCGCGACCACACCCAGACCGCATGTGACGGGCCTCCTACTAAGGCCGTCGTTATACAGAGCCATGGGCGGCACACCGGAGGAAGGGGCCCAGGCCGACGGCCGGCTGGCCTGGGAGGGCTGCCGTCAAATTGCCTTCACGTGTCGGCATGGCCGTTGCATGATGGTCATGTACAATCGGGTACCAAAAGTGTTGCGCTACCCACTTACACCCCCCCTTTTCTTCCAAAAAATCACAACTTCATCAATTTGAGGCCAAAATGATCCTCATTCAATATTTGATCGGCCCCCCCTTTGACTGCCCAAGTAAATCCATCCTTTTGCGCATAGAATTCACCAATTTCATCATGACTTCAGGTGTAATTTCCGCCCAAACCTCCTCAATAGCCTGCGCCATCTGCGTAACGTTTTTAATCCTGTGCCTTCGTGCCCCTATTTTGAGCTTCATCCAGTGCCATAGATTCTCAATGGGCGAGAGATCCGGGCTTTGCGGCGGCCAGTTAAGCATCCTGACGTCGAAAGCCTTCTTCAAAAGACCCAGGAACCCGTGGTGGTAATATGTAGCTCCATCCTCTTGTATTTGAACGCCGTGACCGTACTTCTCCTTCATTTGGCTGTAGAAAGGAAGGAAATGAGGAATAAAGATCTGATCGGTGTATTCCTGACGGTTTAGACGGGTCCCCTGAGGAAGTATAACAATGGGCCCTTTTTCAGGGCCCATAAAACATCCCCACACACCCACTTTCGTGCGGCCGCTCTTGAAGGTCGGTTGTAGACAGTCAGGGCGATATTCCTCGCTCGGGGACCGTGTAACATAGATCGAACGGCCGTCTTCCCCGACTTCGAAGTATGCTTCATCTGACCAACAGATCAGGGGCCAGGCAGTGTATTTATTGACACGGCGGAAGACTAGGCGCTTCTTCTTGTTCTTGGGGGACACCCAGGGCTTCTTGCGGGCACGCCGGCGACCTTTGTTGGCTTCCTTGAGGAGCCTCCGGACCGTTGAACGGTTGATGTTGTACCCAGACTTTAAGGGCGTTCCGAGGGCTGCAAGGGTGTCTGTTCGAGACAGCGTTATATGACGAATCAGCCTTCGATTCGCCCGGTCATCGAGCTTCTTTGGGCGCCCGCTTCTAGGCTTTGAGCCGAATGGGTTTTCGAGGCCATTGGCCAGGTTTTGCGTTACTTTTTGTATAGTCCTGTTGACAGTGGACCTGCCGACCCCCACTTGCGCGAAAATGGTGGTTGCAGTCGCTCCGAAGATGTGGAGAGCCCAAATCTGGGCCCTTTTTTGTTCTGAAAGCTCCGTTCTGAAGCTCTTCGAAATGAATGCCGACTATTTTGCAGTTGAAAAGGAAGAAAAAGATGAAGAGATGGTGAAGATTTTTCACCTTGAAGGTAGAGGGTCATTTTGGCCAACCATGGATTTGGTGGCTTTTTTGGTGTGTAAGTGGCGCAAGACTTTTGGTACCCGATTGTATCTCTGCGGCGTGTGCTCCAAGCGGCTTTGCTTGAATTCGGGAAACAGCAGATACTCAACATGGCCGTCTAGCCGGGTCTCATCCCGGTGACCCTCTATTCGTATATTGATCAACAGTATGAGCAAGGCCTTGAGGATGATCCCTTGAGAGCTATTCTTGGATGTTCAGACGTGGGTAGCATTCCACGAGCCACACGTCGACAGATACGACTTCAGCTCTTAATTTGTTACGTAGGTAGGTAAGCACGTACGTACATGTGCAGCCGAGTCCATAAGTAAGCACACACACATTTTACTTTGTGGCGGCGGATACGCTACCAAGGGATGCAGGCGGCGAAAGGGGTTTAAACCCGGATATAATACGCAAGTTAGTCACTTGAGCCGCAATTCGACAAGAATATCTTATTCATCCCGTAAGGTTCTCCTGTGGCGTTGGACCTGCAGCAGCGAAGAGTACAATGTGTGCCGCCAACCACCCGCGGTTCCTGTGAAGGCTCTTGAGCTGCCGAGTGTCCGTCTCCCCGAAGCGTCTGTGTGCTCTCACCAGGCCACTTTGCAACGGGCATTAAAATGGATGGCAGGAGCGTGGGTGTTGGCGACAAAGAGAATGCGATTTGCTGCATCCTCGTCATTCGTCACATACCTATGCAAGGATTCACGAATACATCTGATCTTCTTCTGGGTCGATCATGCCGTGACCTGGGACGACGAAGCGGGGAGACCCGAGCAGCATTGAAGTAATTTCGTAGCCGCCCCAGACCGTGGCGCAGGCACCAAGCCAGCTCCGAGACCCCGGCTCCGACCAACCCCGCAGCACCCCCAAGCACACCCACTGGCAATCTATCACAGGTACTGGATGGGTGCGGGGGCTTATTTGGGCAAAACGAGCAAATATCCGTGGAGGAGAGTGAAGTGCCCAGAGGATGGATCTTCTGTTGGCTTGTTGGTGATGGCAGAGCTTATGTTCTGGGCTGCCCATGCGCTGAATGTGGGGTTTATGGACGGGCGTGCCCCTGAGTCCTGAAACAACGACGTCGTTAGTTGACAGCGATTGGCTCCTCTCCGATAAGAGAACCGCGGCGATGAGATGGGTGAGCACTCCTGCTCACCCCAGTACGAGGATTGCGGTGGAGGATCAATTGACCGCCGGCGTTGGGAGAATGTGGAAATGCAGACGCCTCTCGGGTTCCTGCGCCTCCATACTCAGGGGGACGATGGCTTGGTGGGGCGGCGGCGGGCAGCAGTGTTGGCTGCTGGCGGTTTTTCGTAAGGGAGACTGACTTCTGTGCCTCTGCTGAGTGAGGTGCTCTCTACAATCCAATCCTTGAATGTTTGTTGGCGTGGTACTTACGAAGGAAAAGAAAATAACAAATGGACCGGCCAGGAAGGGTCTTTAATAGGTATTTCTAGAGAAGGAATAGACCTCTAGGATTCCAAAATAGGGATTCAAATAGCTATTACCTCCCTTAGCGAAAAACCTTTACGGCGAGTCGTAAGATGCTAAGGCCATTTGGAACTTGGAAAGTACCACGCCAACAAACATTCAGGGATTGGATTGTGTCTCTGGTTGCGACAAGAAGGCGTGCGGGATTGAACCTAAAATTAAATGCACCGACAAACACGCTCGCCCAGCTGCAGGAGACCTGTCAGGCTGCGTGTGCGTGTGCGTGAAACAATGACCTAGCCTCTAGAGTACGTCGTTTCTCGGATTTCCTTGACCGTTGCTCGCGTCAGCAACGGGAGTCGGTCGGATACCGGCAACCTCGAGACTCCAAATGGATACTCGTGTCTGTCATTGGGGGCCGTGAGCGTGAAGAAGGGACCAAAATGCGACCAAGACCGACGTCGAATGGGAGACGATTGCCTCGGTCTAGCGCTGCCAATTGAGCTTCCAGCATGTGGCTGCCGAAAAGGCGGGAGTTATCCGCTCAAGTCGGGTTTTTCTGAAACAGACCTAACAACGGCGGGTGGGATGAGTGACGGGTGACAGTTTACGTACTCTGGGAGGCTAAGGTAGCGCTGAGGTGGCCTCTCCTTTTCACAACGCAGTCATCCACGACTGGTTGTTGGGCGTGAGAAGTGGACATACAGACATCCGACGGAATGTCTCAATCCGCGACGTTCGTTCCCGGGCCGTCCTGGTCCTGTGCTCTTGAGAGTTGAGACTCGGAGACTGGCGGTGGTCAAGACCTCTCTCCACTGCTCTTTTAGAGCCGATTTGCATCCGTGTCCGGAGGAAATCCATTGCGGAAGGCACAGAGGGGTCCAAAATCCGCCCCTGTTTCCTTCCCCTCAGTACCGCTGAGGCCCCTTGTCGGGAAAAGCCAAAATGGCGGCCTCTAATTCGTGGTGACCCCAAGGCGTGGCTGAGATTGTTGACCCCTGTGCAGATCTCCGTGAAGTCGGATGGCAACCACAAACTCTTGAAATGGTGAAGGGTAGTCCTGACCTACCTTCACGACCCAATCTTGCGCAGAAAATGGAGAGCCTGGCAAATTTCGGGATCAAAGACGACGCCATGCTCCGGCTATGGATGGGAGGAGCACGTTGACGTGTCGGAATTCTCAAAATCTAAACCGAGTCGGCCAAGATGCCTTGGTCTTACCCCCAAACACCGCGTCGCAGTTGCCCCAAGAATGCGCTGCGCCAACGGAACACGTAGGTAAGCGACGTCTGAGAAGGCAACCTATCCCTCGCAGCAATATCGTCCCGCGGCTTTATATCGAGGTAGGCCAGGTCGC